AAGATACACATGCTTCCCCAGAATCTTTTCATTGTTTAATCGTGGATGACCTGAAATTTAAAAGTCAGGAAACACTGCTGTCAGATGAAAATTGACACAGTGGTCCAGTACAGTGCGAGGCCTAGATCCAAATGGGAGGTGTTGACAATGGCTGAGGTGGATGAAAGGAGTTAGTTGATGGCAGCTTCAAAGACCACTTAGCTATGATACATCTCTGCTCAGCTATTGAAGAAATAAATACCCTCGAGGGACTTTTGTAGCAAAAGTTGGATCTGTCATATGCATACTCACCAGAGATAGCATTTTGTCTCAAAGATTAATCCCAGAAGCCTGGTTCCTTCTGAGATACTGCCTGGTGTCAAGTAGCTTTTCCACAGTCATGTCTGCACTGTGGCCAAAGACTCCTCCGGCCAGTTGTGCCACTGAAACGTTCATAGTTGTTTCCTCAGAGTAACTTCTGCTTAGATACAAAATACAGGGAATGGGAGAGTGAAAAACTTTTCCAATATTTCTGTGGTTCCAACCAATAAATATTTAGCAAGCCTCAGTTAGGTGCTAGGCTTTAGAGGGACTAAAGTCAGTGAAATATATAGTGCTTCTCTTGGCACATCTGCACATCACTGGTGACTAAACTGGTGGAGAAATTGATTTGCTGTTTCTCAAATATTCAAGTATAAGAATTTAGAGATTATTTCTTTTATTCCAAGTACTCTGGTGAAGTTAGATTTTTAAAACCCAGTTCCTAGTCTTGGTACTCATGTTGGGAATGCAGACAACTACACTTGCTGAAGTTTATTGAATTGCAGGGATTTTTGTTTTGTTTTCTGTTTTTACCAGAAAAAGTCTTGCCAAGCTGCTGTTTCCCTGTTTCCATAACAACAAGACAGCTGGTTACAGTGTCTCAGCTGGCTGGTCCTGAGAATGGCTGGTGAAGAGTTTCACAAGTCAAGAGAAACACAAAATAAGGAAAGCACTGGGGTAGCTGCATCATCATCTAGGCCATCACTTAGCGGTGGCTTAAATATTCATTTGCCTTTTTATTCCACCCTTAACTCTTTCCTGCAAAGATTCAAGTCCTCAAAAACAACAAAGGGAAAGCCCTTGATGGATGTCAGTGCATCTTCCTTAGAATCTTTGTCATAGTAGGACTTTTATCCAAATGGAAATTCAGAGCCTTTACTGATTAAAAAAAAAAAATCAAGGAAACCAAGAACGTGATTTGGTCTGTGTTTTTGCATAGGCAGGATGGAAAATCTCAGCAAATCAAGTGCCTTTTTATACTAATGTAAGGAAGCTGATATCTAGTTGCCTTCAGACATCTGAAGGGCACTCATTTGTTTTTGATTTTTTGTTTTGTTTTTTCTGTTTTTGTCTTTTTTTGAGACAGGGTCTCGCTCTGCAGTTCAGCCTGGCCTTGAGCTCACTTTGTAGCCCAGGCTGG